AAATGTGAAAATCTTTATAAAATCTGAAAATGTCATATGAAAACAAATGCATAAGTTTGTTGCGACCAAATATTCAGCTATTCACGCAACCGGAGCAGTGCTCGCAGAATCGGACTCTGGAATATCCAGTTTCGGCTTCTTGAGATCGCCTTCAGGGGCCTCTACAGGCCTCTTCTTCTTCTTGATGAGATGTGTTACGTCACTGGTAGGAACATCATTTAGAGGTTTTGGCGGTGCTATATCCCCGTTGACCTCCTTGCAATTTGGGGTTTCCGCGTTCTCTTTCTGCCTTTCTTCGACTTCCTTAATGAGTTGCGTGATCTCCTTAATTTGCAATTCTAGTCTGTGGGCGTCAGCTTTTCCTGAGTCTGACTCAGTTTCTTGCGCCTCAAAACTGGCAACCAATTTAGATTTATGCTTATTGAGATAGTCAAGCGTTGTGGCAAACGACGCATTGGAAGAATGGACATTGTTCAGCAAGGAGTATGCCACGCCGAGTTGAAAGTGAGTTTCCGCAATGAGTCTCTCGTTCTCGCCTGCATACTTCATTCTTATTTCGAGACATTCCTAGAGAATAAAATAACGTGAAGTGCACACACCAACAGATCATTTATGCCTTGTTCGTGGTCTTCCTTTTCGCAACTGATTTCGGCGAGTTTTTCAAGACAGTCAGCAACCTTAAGCTGATTTTCTCTATCCTCATGCTTGCTGAAAAGAGCCTTAGCGACTTCAACAACTTCCCAGGCCAGCTGAAGAGTAGAAACATCCTCATCGCCTTCCTTATTCTCGAGGGTATCATTATCAGCGGCAGACTTCTCGGCTGTGTCAGACTTCACGTATTAAGCAAGAAAACAAAGTACCTCAACATGAACAGCAGTAGAGCCGTTGGTGACCACACCGTTTTCGGCGGTTACTTCTTCAGCCTTATTCTTAACACCATTTCCGGCCGGCGACGATGCCTTTTTCTCCTCATCCGTGTCACCTGTGGTTTTGGTCTGTCCATCCTCTTTAGCTTCTTCTGCCAAAACCTCCGGTGGATTCTGTTCTTCAGGAGGGTCATCTTCGGTGTCCTCATCCTCCTCACCTGCATTGGAAAGGTCAGAAAAAGGTTCAACTCTGGTACTTACTATCAGATGCATCTGATTCTGCGTTTCCAACTGCCTCGCTCAGAATATTGTTTTCTGACCTTGCGAGCTCTAGCAGAGCTGTACCGTACAAGAGGTTCGGTGCAGCTAAGCTTTCGTGAAAATCACCATGCTCCGCGGCTCTAAACAATGGTTTGTTAAGGAAATAAATAGCTCGGGAATGCTTACATTAGTTCGCAGGCCTTCTGAAAATTTTCAACTGCACTACTAATCTCGAGACAAATTAGATCCCGCTTTCCTTTGGCTATAAGTTCCTCTGCAGTGGGGGCAAATTCAGCAGTCTTCTCAACCTCACCATCATCTAGCGGGGGCATCTCTTGGGGCGAGTTATTTTAAATCGGGCTCGGATATTCTAACTGTCAAGTCAGATTAGGATAACTTAAAGTTCAAATTTAGGATCTCATACATAGTCGGCAGTTTTCTGATTCCTAAGGTTCCATTTTTAAGGCTGTTAGGGGATACAGAAAATAATTTTGTACCGAAAAGCTTAGATGGGCTTTTGTAAAAGGATAAACTTTAATCGCGACGGCAAGCTGTGCCGGGCCCGGCTGCATAATTTGAGCTTACTAAGGAAATCTTAATAGCAATTTTCCGGAACCAAAGGATAGAATGGTTCCAGTGGGACCAAAGGATAGAGGCGA